GTACCTTCAGCTCATCTTTGCTCTGAAAGTTTTCCATCAGGTGCTGGAAGTGGATATCTGTCATCTGACGGAGAAGCGACAGGAGGCAGGACACGTACTCTCCCTGCCAACAGGAAGCAGGGCACAGTCATGTAAGTGCATGGAAACACAAAGGAGTCAACAGTGAGGTGATGCACCAGGATGAGTCGGGCTCTTTCCCAAACTGACCCCTCTTTATTAGCCTCTCTGCTGGCACCGCTTTATGTTTCAGTAACTTTTTCCAGCCTTCATGTAAAGATAAAACTGCAGCGCTACACGCAAGACACGAGGAAATACAAGTTCACTCCACTTTTCTAAAGGGCGCTAAATAATTCTCACTCACGCAAACTTCATCAAACCTCTGTGTTGATCTACTGCATTAAAATGCTGAAGTTCACAGGATGGATTCGTGTTTGAATCTAGTTTTTGTCACCACCTAATCTGGATAAAGAAAGATTGTAGTCTGTATTAAAATATGATGAGTGTGAAGTGAGACCCTGCAGGAAACCCGGCGCCTCCATCTGAGAGGAGGAACGACGAAGGAGAACGAAGCAGCTGATCCAAAATAAAAACTCACAAAATCTTTCTGTGTGGCGTCGACACCAATAAGGCATTAAATGAACTGCATTACACCAAAGAATGACATAAACGATAAAGTTGCAAGAACGTTTTTAACACGATGAATTATAATTTCTAAAAATTTTAAATACCTATCTACTAAACTTTAACTATCAATTTATCGTTGATAATGACATAAATATAATATTAACAAAAACAGTTTGTAAACACTTCTTTGGACTCTTTTGTTCTTATTTTTATTCATTGCTTTCTTGCTTCCTGGTTAAACAGGAGGGCAGCAGACTGAGACTGAGCCAAAGATGAAATGAATGTAAATGAAGGTGAACAGTCAACAAAAATGCATCAAATTTACAAAATACAAATGAACCCAGACGACTCAGATTCACACATCTGTGATTTAACTAAGATATCGTTCTGCACAGTTATACAAATAAAGATGGAAGTTCTTTAACGCATGCACAAAGAGACGTAAGAGCAGGATGGGTCAGTGATGATGATGGTGGAGTAGGAGAGGGCAATATTGACCAAACCAACAGTTTTCATTTTTATTTTAACACTTTTTGCTTCTCTCAGATCTCCCGTCTCTTATTTTGTTGCCGTCGTGTGACTGTACGACAGTATACAGGGACAACAAAGCTATAACATGAACATAATATTGCCCTGCCCTACAGCAGACAGACAGTCAGACGGATGCAGGGTGGATGAGGGGCCGGGAGGTGACGTAGTAGTAGTCGTATTGTTAGTTACTAACAGCGATCTCAGCGGTGCACTGCGGACAGCGTTGACCCCTTACCGCCTCCTGCGATTGGCTCTTGCTCATGATTGACAGCAGGGTTTGCAGGAGGACGTCCAACAGGGACTCCACCATCATCTCCACCTCCTCCTGCACCGACGTGTCCTGGAAGAAGAGACGAAGGAAAGGAGACGTAAAGAAAAGGAAACCAGAGCAGAGAAATAAGGACAGCTGCTCTCTGTGCGTTTCGTGTACTTTTATATAGGTTAGTATCCAATAATGAATTTGGAAGGTTTTAGGAGCTTTGCTGCAGCTGTGTCTCACACATTCCTGCTCCTGAGAGGACAAACCTAACTGAAGGCTCACTGCAACACTAAACATTCACAGTACGTAGTGGAAATAAACACTGGTTTCTCACTGGTGCTCACGAACTTCAGTTTCAGTTCAGATCAGATGAAAGTGTCCAAATACTTCAGAGACTTCAGTGCACTAAAAGCAACGCCTCAGAAGAGAAGAGCGTCATCACTGAACATCACTCATTTCATGAGCCGTTAATGTGTTTTAACCTGACAGTGGTTTGTTTGGCCTGCAGGGGAACTTTGAACGTTTCACTACTTTGATAACAAAGTTCCTGTTAGAGTTGGCAGTTTTTGTCCTCCTGTGAAACTTTTTATCATGTAAACATTTAATAAATGAAGTGCTGGTTTTATTCTAACTTACTTGGTTACGTCTCCATTACTGCATTTGTTCTGCATTTTCTTTCTGATGATCTTTTATTAATTATACTTCAGCCACAGGTGATAATTAGGAGTTAAAGTAAATCATCGTCGCAGCACAGGGACACGGCAGCGTGAGCAACTTTACCTGATAAAACTTCTGAAAGATGAACTACATTCAATATTTTCTTAAGCATCATCTTTGGTGACTGCACCCCCACACACCCCTGCAACAGCTCAAGATGTCTCTCCAGAGCCAGAGCAGTTATAAAGCACCACCTCCACCCTAACCACCACCCTTCAACATCCTGCCCTCTGGAAAAAGGTTCAGATCCATCAGGTGCAAAACAAACAGACTAAAGAACAGCTTCTTCCTGTGAGCTGTCAGAACTCTTAATGCAAACTAAGAGTGTGCACAGACGTCTCCAACACATCCACCCTGACGCTGCTGTTGATCAACTATGTGCAATATCTCAGTCTTTCCATGTTCTGTGCAACATTTCTTTGGTGCATGTGTAATATTTAGGTCTCAGTGGAATTATCATCTCCACCCTAAATGACCAAAGCCCCTCCACCCTTATTTATTTATGTATTATATTATATAACTGCCCTTGTATACAGCCCCACAATGTTTCTGTTTCAGTGTTTCTCTGCATACAGCATGTATGTAGTTCACTCACATGTATATTGTTTTCTCTTCTTTACTTTTGCACCTTTGTGCTCCAGCTACCCAATTTCGCTGTGCAAGAAACTGCACAATGACAATAAAACTCTAAGCATTGAAGTTCTGTTTGTTCAGTTCACATGAAACAGCAAGTCTGAAGTATTTACGGTGGGCTTCCTGTTCATGTCCTAACCACAGCAGCGCCACATCAACAAAGACCACCATCACACAACTGCAGCCACAGTCTGAACATCATGTTTGTCTCTGTATGATTTCTCCTTCAAATCCTTCCTTAGCCTCACGATGTTTCTTATTCAGGTCAATGAAAAGTGATCATGAAAACACACAGAAGGTGCTTATTGATTTGTTGAATATGCAGCTGTAACCATGGATTTATTTTTCTTGCAAAGGCACGGACATTTGGTGGAGCAGAGGCTCATGGGAAAGCAAAGGACCCATCTGGTTCACCTTCTACAAAACTGCAAAACCAGGACTGGCCTCAGCAGGGAATGACGTCTTTCTTCTAGCTTCTGGGGTGAGTGCCCTTTCAAACCCCACAATGACACTCAGATTTGAATGCAGCGGTGTTTCGAGTGTGTGTGTGTGTGCATGTGTGCGTCTGTGTTACCAGCGAGCTGGTCTTGATGATAGAGAATATAGAGCTGAGTATTCCAGAGCAGATGAGAAGCTCTTTCTGTTGCCTCAAGTGCAGGTGGATGTGATGGAGGACCACAGGAAGTAGGATCCTCCGAGACTCTGAGGGAACACAAGACAGACACACAAGTTTACTTCAGTTCAGGTTTATTTGAGAAGGACCACGCACACGTTACATTATGGCGGTTAGGGTGTCTGTCGATCGTAACCCAACAGCATCGCTGCTGTTCCAGTGAACAGCAGCGATGCTGCTCAGAGGGAGTCGGCCTCCTGCTCGTCTGGTCTGGTTCATGTCCTGAAACAAATCCATCTGAAAACTGTGCAGCTCTTCAAGCTTTTGTAGCTACAGGTTAAAGGTTACTGTCAAGTTAGTGCCATGAAACAGATTTTAGAAACATTTAATGTCAGTGGGGAGAAAAAAAAACACAGGGATGCAATGACGGGTTATCTACACACAAACACCAGAGACAACGCCGACATAACAAAGTCACTTATTATCTGCATTTGAGCGGCTTCGTGGCCGATTACACAGCAGAAATGTTGTTTAGCAACGTTAGCAGACGTGCCGTGAGGAGGTCCTCCCCCAGGAGGGTTCGAACAAAGTTTCACCAGAAAGAATTTTGATGTGTCAGTTTGAGACTATTCAGCATCAGCTCGTGGTACTGAAACTGTCAGGCATTAATTTTGTACTTTAAAGTCAGTCTCACCTTCACATTAACACATTCAGTTCTGAGTCATATATAGAGACTCTTGTGCATTTGGGTGGGTTCACGATTTAGAGCGGTTGTAACTGGGGACATAACCTCTTTAGATTAGCGTTCCCTGTTCAGAGATGGTAAATGTGCAGCACGTTACTACTACTACGTTACTTTATGCTGAGACAAATACACGTGTCTGAATCATACAGCACTTTCACAACATGTTGGTTATGTAGACGGGTGATTTTAATTTGGCCACAGGTGGATGTGAGAGTTTGTTGTCACTCTGTGTCAGCCCTGTGAATAAACTGATGGATGGACCTCTAGTTGATGATGTATTTGGGTTGCTGCATGTTTGACTCGCTTTTGTTTGTTTTTAAAGTCATTCACAACCTTTATTTTGATTTTAATAGTCCTGTGGCAAAAATCACAGCGCATTACATTAACGCATGAATGAATCCAAACATTTACCTGGGAAAGAGAAGAGCCGGCTGTCCACGGTCCGAGCTATGGACTGCAGCTTGACCACATCCATGGACTGTCCTATGTGCACGGTGGACGGCATGCTGCCCAGGGTGCCGCGCACAAACTCGGCCACCTCTTGCACCGTAAACATTTGCAGCAGCTCATCAAAGATGGCTGGGAACGAGTTCAAAAGTGCAGCCTGAGAATGAAATTAGGGACAGAAGAGGCGTTAATGACAAGAGGGGAGAGGTTTATTTAGGGAGGAGGGCAGCAGGGGGTGTTAGTCAAAAAAAAAAAACGTTTGAGTGAAAGAGAGAGAGAAGGAGTCGGTTATAAGGAACAATCCTGGTTTCAGTGACTGGAGTGTCCACAGGAGAGAGGTGCCAACCCACACGAGGAGTCATAAATCCACACAGGTCAGCAGGTAGACATCTGTTCAGATCCAGCTATTACAGTTTTTACAAAACAGCTCGTACGAAGAGGCACACAGAAGTTATTCCACAGCAGAAAACAAACCAGAGCTGGAAGTGAAAGGTTTGACAAAAGGAGGACAAAGCACACACACTAGCAAGTCAGGGGTATCAATCATTAATAACATGGTTCAAACAGAGTGAACGGGACACAAAGACGGGTTTTAGCACAACAAAGAAGCCGCAGCAGACGTGGAGACAAACAGGTTCATTCTGGTGTGAACTGGACTCAGAGCGGCACAAAACTGAAAGCTGCTGAAGTCTGGATGAAAACTTCTTCTCCACTCTTTGTATTTTTACTAACAATATTTCACCTCTTCTAAAAATAAAGATAATCTAAGCCTATGAGGTCCTGGGCAAATACTCCAGTTTTAGTTCCACTTTTTAATGTTTTCTTTAAGAGTTCTTCTGGTGAAAATTGTAGATTTTGGAAAATGTTTAGAGGCCTCATTGAAAAATAGGAAGAAGTACATGAGATTAATTTATTTCAACGAGTTTGTTCTTATTGCGTGAATCAAGTGGCTGAAAAAGTCCAAATCCTGCAGTACCTGTAAAGGCCACGTGAGCCTGGATCTAAAGACAGCAGAGACGTGTTTACAGCCAAGAAACATTTTTGTCTCTACAGCGAGTGAAGTGAAGAGTTATCAGGATGGATGTCATTAACAAACATGCTCTCAGTCAGAGGACGTGTGTGACCAGCGAGTGCAAGAGGACATCGTGTACTTGTGTGTTATATCAGCCGGGACGTGTGTGTGGAGGACCACAGGTGTGTGTGTGGTTAGAGCTCTCTGAGGTGAAATGGGACTCTGGGCTTCACGGGGTTAAAGGGGTGCTGTGGGTTTCTTCCAGACGTTTACTTACTGACAGCGGAGTCGGCCGCAGAGCGTTGGCGCTCATGGCCTGAGTGCAGTTGGCCTGTCCGCTGCCAGGAACCTGTCCTGGGACAGTGGACTGCAGTTGGCCCGGGGCAGGAGCTAGTGCTAAGGGAGCGGGAAGCCCGGCGCCGGGACCTGGGACTTGATTTGGGCCCGGACAAGGCTGGGGGCCCTGTGGTATTTGGGTGTGGAGGAGACCCAGGAGGAATAACAGGGACCCAATTGAAGGAGCAAAGATTTAGGGGAAATTGAAAGAGAAGATGAGGAAAGGAAACAAGGAAAGATGCGAGGTACAAGTGGAAAAAGGAACAGAAGTGAAATAAAAGTCAGATTAAGGGCAACTACAAGAAGATGGGAAGCAGCTAAACTAAAGTACATTTTACTGTTAGCTGTCTACTGTAAACTATGACGACACAACAGTTTCAACATCAAAATCACAACAATAAACGATTTTTCTGATTTCTCTGCTTCCTGAACAAGGAAGAAAAATGTTTTTGTTTTTGTTGCAGGTTTCCTCACCTGAGTGAAGATGAGCGTCTCGGAGTTGCGGCTGTCCAGGCTGAGCACGAAGCGGATCGACTGAAAGAGTTCTTGGACGCTGGTGCGAAACTGCTCCTCCTCCATGCCACACGTGGCCCGAGAGTAAAGGATCCGAGACTGGATGATGAACTTGAACAGATACTCCAAAGCCTGAGAGGACGTGCAAACAAAGAAAAGAGAAGCATGAAATATTCACTCTTCTTTTTTTTTGTTCTAGAAGAAACACAAACCTCAAACGTTTTAGGAGTACCGTGTTCCCTCGTTTATCGCGGATGTTGATAACCTGCGAAAGGTGAAATCTGCGAAGTAGCGAACGTTTTGTTTTTTACAACTATCATAGATGTTTTAAGGCTGTGAAACCGCCTCACTACACACTTTACACACTTTTCTCAGACAGGCATGAACATTTTCACACATTTCTCTCATTTAAACTCTTAAAGTTCAAACCTTCGTAGAAGAATAAGTCCAGTATTATAGAAAGAAACCAAAGATCAAACCCTGTGTTCAGCTCCAGAACATGGGAACAGAGCAGCTGCCAGAGAATTCAGCATTAATGAATCAACGGTACAGATGTAGAGGAAGCAAGAAGAATGAGTTGAGTGAAGTTTGACTTATCTGACTGCTTTGTTTCACTTAATGCTCCTTATAATCCTTTGACGTCGACACTGTTGTTTGTTGTCTTGCAAAGATTTATGTAAATTGACAAGCTGAACGCATTCTGTGCAGTACAGGAGACACGGTACGAGATTGATTGAAAATGGTCTACAGCCAATCAGGACGCAGAATGCAATGCGCTGCAAAAAAAAAAAAAAAAAACAACGTAAAAATTGCACCAAAAAAAATCGTCAAAACATCGAGGCTACGAAAAGTGAACCGCGATGTAGCGAGGGAGCCCTGTACACTTTTTTAAAGGATGGGTAATTTAAGTTAAATGAGATATTCCCACTTTAAGCTTTAGTTTCTCTTAGTTCGAGCATCAGATTACTTATTTTGTTTTAAATTAACAGGAACTCTGCTCTCAGAGTTCAGAACAGAGACTAAAACACAAACTTTGACTCACAATCATGTAGCTTATCCAGGTTTTAATTAACATGAACGCCAACGATGCTTTTAGTGACAAATATGACCAAACTGACAAAGACTTAAAAAGACTTCCTGTAGATTTTATTTAACGACATTATTTTCAGTTAGTTTGTTTTTCTAGTTTCCTTTTTTTTATTGCTTCACAACCAGTTTTAGTTTTTAGTCTAGTTCAGTGTAATAATCTTGTTTTTATACTTCCACATTAGCCATTAGCTTCTGTGCATTTAAACGCACAGAAGACATAAAACTGTAAACTCATCACTCTGTCACGTGGTTGTGGGGGAACTTCGGCC